TGGGTACTCCAGGTGACCCCTAGGTAAAGTGGGACCCATTGTGGGGAGAAAGTCGAGATTCTGGCCATGGAGCCTGACAGAATTAAGACAACTCTGGACCATTGGGAAAGGAGTCCTCTCCATTTCACACTGTGACCTTGATTGCCCCATTTAACCTGGTGCTTTGATCTCTCAGTGTGTAGAAACATAATCACGGCCAGAGAGCATATATTAAATATCTATACACACACAGATAATCTAAGTCACTCTGAAAGAGGTTGCCATAATGAAAAGAGCCTACACTGTTAAACCAACATCCGGAATGTAGGTAGATTGTAACCACATTCTCATTAGGAGAGGCAGATGGCAGTGGTTGAGGGAGTGGGGCCTGGGTTCAAATCCTGACTCCATCATACACTAGCTGACCACGTGACCCTGGTCAAGTGGCTTCGCTGTTATTCATCTCAGTTTCCTCATATGTAAAATGGGGATAACAATAATTTCCTCCTCCTAGGATTGTTGTGAAAATTAAATTAGTTAATACATATACAGTAAAGTGCTTAGAACAACAGTGCATGGCAAATAGTAAGTGCTCAATAAACGTCAGCTGCGAACATCAGTACCTCCTAATCCCTTTGTTGTGTAGGGAGATTTGCTGCTTTTCTTCCAGCAGCTCCTGTTACAGTTATTAATAAATTCTTTGATATTTTCCAGCTGCCAAACGGGGAAACTAAGTCTCCAGGTATTAGAGAATGTGAACTGAATCCAGCAGGCAGGGCAGCGCCCGAGGTTAAAGAGGGGGCCTGGCGTGTGTCCCTGATTTTCAGCACCGCCTTGAGCAGATCCCCGCCCTCTCGGGGCCTGAGTTGCCCCATCTTTAGTAAGATAAAATAAGGGGCCTGAGCTATGTTTGTAAACTTTCCCTTCTTCCTCGCTGCCAGGTCTTGAAGTCGTTTTCTTTCTGGATTTCTGGCTGCAATCCAGTGACACCTGACGGGGGTGGCGAGGGGGATCCTGATAGCTGATTGGCCGCGGCAAGGATCCTGAAGGAGGCCGCGGTCTGCCAGTGCACCCAGGCCCCAGCTGTGACTCAGCCGCCGCTCTCCAGCACCGGGAGAGGGAACTCTCCGCCCGCCCGCGGACCCACCCCCGGCGCGAGCCGTGACGTCTCCCGGAATTCACAGCTGCCCTCTCTCCCCGCTGGGCTCCCCCCATCGGCACGCAGGAGGCTCTTCTGTCGCAGGCGGGAGCTGAGAGCAAACTGCCGGGGTCGTGCACGACTCCCCGGGGCTTCCCGCAGAAGCTGATTGGCAAGGGGGGGTGGGGTGGGGTTCCGGCAGCCGTTGGTAACCCCCGCCCTGTCCCCTCCGCCTCCGCCCCAGTAAGAGAGGGCTGTAAAATTCCGGAAGAGAGATTAGAGGCAGGGGATGGGTGGGGCAGTGAATCAGTACATTCCTTTCTCCCCCTGCCTCCTCCTGCCCTGTTATCACTTTGGGTGGGTTGGGTCCTCTTATGGCCTTCTCCTGACCGGTCCACTGGCAGGGTCCAGACAAGCTAAGCAGTGCTGGGCGGGAACCTCCCAAACTCAGCTGAACTTTGTAGAGCCTGGATCACTTACTTTGCAGTTCATGACCCCATTTGGTTTCGGGTTGGGGAATTTTGGTCCTTGCTTCCAACTGGGTCCCTTCCACAAGAGTAGTTCTTAGGCCTGTCTGTGCATTTGTTAGTAGCTCCCATTAATTGAGCAAGCTCTTGCTCCGAGGCAAGGTCTGTGCTAGGTCAATCAGTCTTATGTTCCTAAAACTTTGCAAGGTAGGCATACCTTCTCTCCTGTTAGAAGCCAGGACTCTGAAAGCTCAGAGAGGTTAGGTAACTTGCTCAAGGTCACACAGTGGCAAAGCCAGGAGTAGTCCCAGCTCTATTAGTTCCATAAATTTTCCACCACACTCCGTGGCTTCCTTTAGCACACTGAAAGGCAACACTTATTAGGGGGTGGCGAAGTAACATCTATGGACCACTTCCCACTGTGCTAGGTACTTTAAATATATTGTCTTTAATCATTTACTTTTTTCACAACAACCCCCTGAGAGAGATACGATCACCATGCCCATATTACACAGGAGGAAACTTTCGTTAGGAATTTCAGGGGCAGAGCTGGGATTCCTGTACAGTCATAGTACAAAGCCGCAGTTAATGTTTGTATAGTGCTTGACAGTTTCCAAAGCCCTTTCAAGATCTTCATTTCAGTCTATCCCATTTCACAGATGAGGATGAAGTTTCCTTCATGAAGTTAAGCCATCTGGCCAAGGTCACAAACCTAATAGTAAGTAGCAGAGCCTGCAATTTTGAAATAAACTCTATAAAGCCAGTAGTAGCAAAGCTCGTTCCATTTAGTCATTCCACAGTGCCAAGTACCATTCTAATAGTTGTAATAATAGCTAACACTTATTGAACACTTACTGTCTGTCCACTGTGGTGCTACCTGTTATATACACTAACTCCTGTAATGCTCAAAACTACCTTAGGAGGTGGGTACTGTTAGCTTTTCCTTACAGATGGGGAAATTGAGACTAGATGAAGTAACTTCCCAGAGTTAACAGCAACTAAGTGGCCATGCAAGGATGCCAGATGAAACAGTCTAGAGTCCCAGGGTAGGAAGAAGGCATCTGGGTTGTGTCCCTACCTTTGTCTAAAACCACTTCTCCAAGGGTTTTTGTTTCTTTGCCACACCCCCATTACTCCTTTCTAACCTGTGTGTGTGGCAGGCCCACATAGCTCCCGCTCTCAAGGAGCTAACGCTCTATAAAATCAGTCAAGAATACCACCAGCTTTGCCTCACAGGGGCGCTGGGCAGATTAATAAGCTAATGGCACTTGGAATGCTTCAGCAAAGGCACTGGATAAACTCAGGGCACTTATTATGTGTGAAACTCACTGCCAAGGGTGGTTCACGCTGTAATAAGGCGCCTGCAGCCCCTTTCCCGATCTCTTTGAGGTGTGCAGCCTTACTTGGGAAACTGTGTGGATGAGGTCACTCACGTCAGAGGTGAGAGCATTTCCCTGCTGTCCGCAGGGTGTGGGGAGTTGGTGGCATTGCCGTGGTCTCAGGCCTTTTGCTCTCAGTGGGGGGTGTTTCCAACATCTCGGAAGGGTTTCCAGCTTACGCTAAGGGACACCAGTTATTGACTGGAGTCAGACACTAACATCACACTTACTTGGGCTTCGGAGGCAGACACTTGGGCTGAATCCTGCTTCTGTCATTTCATCTCTCTGAGCCTCTGATCCCTTTTAAAATGAGGATAATAATATCTTCCTCACAGGGTTATTCTGAAGCATAAACTTGATCATATATTTAAAGACACCTTCCCAGGGCTTGGAAATAGAGTAGATGCTTAATAGGTGGTAGCTATTATCATAGCTGTTATCATTATCCTTATGTTATTATATTATTTACTGACATTTTAGGGCCAGGCTGAGAGCTAGATGGAGGGAAGAGTCATTCATTTGTTCAACAATGCGCTAGATTGCCCCAAGTAGGTAGGTCTAAGTAGGAGAGAATCATGAAAATAGGCATTTACAGTACAATGTGGTAAGTGCTATGATAGGGGATTGCATAAGGTGTTTTGAGACTTTAGCGGAACAATCAATAACCAGGAGACTCAGCGAAAGTTTTGCAGAGGAGGTAGTTCTCTGTATCAAGTCTGTGCTTCAAGGAAGTGGAAAATGCTGCCAGCTGGAGGCAGATAGAATGCAAGTGGCAGCTGAGCCTGTGTTCCTCACCGAGGGCCTTGACTCGGATCTGCAGCCCGTCTTGCTTCAAGGCCTCTCAACTCCCACACGGCCCTGCCAGCCAGCCTTGCCCTGGAATACCCTCTCCTGGGCCACCTGCTGGTGATGAACATCCTGGGTTCTGTGCTGTGGCTTGACGTGGCTGAGTCATAAGACCTTTCTTTTTTCTGCTAAGCTCTAATGGAAGCCTTCTGGTCGGGAGCAATGCCCCAGGTCTACCTTGTGGGAAGGCCGAATGATGACTACTGACGATTGCTTCTCCCCACAGAGGCAAATGAACACGTGTGTAGTGGTTGGGGGCGGGGGTGGGGCGGAAAAGGCAGCCTAAGGGGCAGGAGTCCCTTCTAGATAGCTGCCAGTTCTGGGCAGGTGAGACTGCCTAGGGTGGATAGGGAGGACACAGCACACCCCCACCCCAACCCTCCTGGATAACCTTCCCCCCCAGTGCTGCCGGCTGCCATCGGGCAGTGGTCAGATCAGTCTCCCCACTCACCAGTGACCACATTTTTCAAACCAAAACTCAAAACGCGTGGCCTGACAAAGAATTAAAGAATTTCTGGTCACCTTCCAAATGCAAGAGAGAATGCTGGAATCTCTAGGATAATTCCCGTCGTTAAAAGGGACATTAGGTCGGAAACCTTGAAATTCAGGGTCTCCTCTTTATCAGGCATTTTTTCGTACATTATATCATTGATAGGTGAAAAGAACCCCACGAGGTAGCTGATAACTGTTTCCATTGAATAGTTGAGAATACTGAGAGTTAATAACTTGCCCAAGATGCTACATCCCGGAAGTTTGAATTTTGGTCTGTCAGGGAAGGTTCGAAGGGGTGTGTGTGTGTGTGTGTGTGTGTGTGTGTGTGTGGCGGGG